ACAAAATCGGTCGCATTTTTTAAATTGTTGACCGTTTATTTGCACCAGTTTAAGTTCGAAGGTCAAAGATCCAAGAAAAATGCAGGAAAAACTACAGTTCAAAGGTCAACGTTCAAAATAGCATGTAGCCAAGAATCTTCATGCTAATTCGAACATTATTATTATCAGGTGTTTAAACATTCCAGAACTTCACTTGAAAATAAACTACTGTAAGCAATGAAGTATAGAGGTGCGCTGTGTTTATAGAAAAAATAGCAAAAATAACAGGTAATAATCATTGGAATAACAAAGTACGTTTTTACAATAAAATTCCGGAGCATATAATTAAGATTATCATTTCCTAAGTTTAAAACTTACATTAAAAGTATTTTAATTGAAAAGTCATACTACAAAATTGAAGATTATGTGATAGATAAATGGAAAGACGGCATGCGTCTATATTCCGCACAAATTAGATTCAAATTGTATTCCATAACATTTAAATTGACAGCTACAATATAAAAAAACATATTTTTTTTTAACATATATAATATAACATATAATAACTCTGTTTAGGGCTTATTGTCAGGCATTCTACGCTAGTCAGTTATGGTACCATTATACTAAGCGACCTTTTGATAGACTCAGAGTTCTGTACAACAACGCATTTCGTGTTATGCTGCGGCTTCTCTGGCGGTGTAGTGCGTCTGGCATGTTTGCCGTGAATAGAGTAGATGATTTTTTTCGCTATAGACGAAAGAGACATTGGTCTTTTCTTACGAGAGTGAGCGATTCGGCCAATATTATTGTAAGGACAGTATGCGATACGTGCTACTTTGTAAGCGAACGCTCCATTTTTTAAACATAAATAAATTAACTATAATTATACTATTATTTGTAATGTAACTTAATTAATTTAATTCTTTACTGTTTACTTCATTAATAATAATAATTTTCTATTAAAAAAATGCAATTTAATTGTTATGTATGTAATGTACCACACGCAAAATAGCCGCCTTGACGTCGAGTTGCGGACACCAGCCCGTTACCCCAAGTACCAAGTACCAAGTATGTAAGTAATGTCAAATTTATTAATGGCGGTATACCTAAATAAAGAAACATTTTATTTTATTTTATTTATTAATAGAAAATTCATTCTATAAAGTTGACGAATAGGTATGTTAACCTTATGTTCAAAAAAATGTTCAATATTTAATGACATACAATGTATTAATAATTTGGCTGAGTGAAGAAATAGATTTCTCACAAACGATGCTACGGCAAAAAAGTCGTTAAAAACACCAAGAACGAAGATCTGCAAAGAAGCACAGACAAAAATTCCTCTGCTGGTTCGTTCCGTGGCTTAGTAAGCATAGCGACAGCCACGGATTGCTAGAAGACGTTGTTTGGAATCTAGTCGGATCGAAGGAATTCTTCGTATTAATAATTTATTCTGTAATTTATTTCATAAAAATACAATTTAGGAAATGAAACTATTTTTCCGGATTTAAATCGCGTATATTTGTTTTTTCAAACAAACCGACGTTTCGGGCCCTTTACAGGTCCCATGGTCACGGTTGACTGTCAACCGTGACCATGGGATCTGTAAAGGGCCCGAAAATCCGGAAAAATAGTTTCATTTCCTATGTGTAACAATCGCGAAAACCTAAGAACTCGATAAAATACAATTTTTTATTACTTATTGAGAGATGCGTTAGGATTCTAAACAGTTACGTGCGCGCTCGAATGGGATCCTGAAGATTATTCCTGCCAGGTGGGACAGTGCTATGCTCGACGCGATGGGTGCGCCTGCATATCACCTTTTAAAATAAAATTAACACTACATTTTATGAATCATAGGTCTAGGCATAGGTCCTGAATGAAGCCAACCTACTAATAATAATGTACGAACTAGTCGTTGCCTATAATCCTCACCAAAGTACATAAAAAATATACATATTAAAAAAAATATTTATTTATTATAAACATAACAGAATTTACATGGGTACAATTATTGACCAGTGTCCCAAAAACCAGTTTAGGTTTTACCGTACAACTCGTCATCTAATATCATCGAATATATAACCAGAATTAGAGACGAAATAAGGGCCATCCTTCCCTGGCAACTCATCAGTCAAACGGGCCTTATATCACTTATAAATATCAACTCGCGTTTGCACTGATATCACAAATTAGAAAGCTGAAATATACAGCGCCAACAACTGACCTGTGTGTACCTCTCCGAATATTCCAAAAATATTCTGTATTTATTGTGATAAAGATAATATCTCTTAACTATAGGGAGCTGTTCCGTTCGGTAGTGTGGGAAAAACAGAATAACATTTCATCGGTAATTAAATATTAAATAATATGTAATTTTTAAATTTTCGTCCATTAGCAAAGTTCAAGTTAAACTGGTCGATTTGAAGTGAAACAATTGACGACACACGTCAATTGTTTCGAATTCGAGCTGGCCAATCGGAGCGCAGTTGTCGCCGTAATGATTTGGCAGAATAGTTCTCAAACAAATTAAATTATATTTCGTCTCTATTTCTGGTTATATACTCGATGTCTAGTACACCCTTTACTTTTAACATTAAATTGTAGTTATAAAGTAATCCTAAGTATCATCTCAGCAAACACTGTTAATTTAGTTGTAGCGTAAGATACAATGATAGCATTCAATTCTACCTGCACTGACCCCGATCGACATCGATCGATCGAAGGGCGTGCGATCTTACTAAGCTTTCAAAAGCCAACATTCTCCATTAAATAACTCATAGATAGAACTAGTTTCACACGAGATGTAGTTCGAGATGTGACGTGCCAAACTGAAAATACGTTGTTCTGTAAAATTTGCCAAGTGGTACGATACTTACGTCAAGAGAGAAAATATACATTTAAATGTATAATATCAATAGCTCGGACAAGAAAAGGTGTAAAAATGATGTTTTAAGAAAATGAGCTAATGTCGTTGGGTTACATTTTCTAGCTTACAGTAGCAGTAGAGCTCCTAGTGAAAAAGTACGTCCAGGGAAGCACTGAGCATTGCGTTTTGAAGGGTGCTAGTGAAATTACAGTCACTTGGGACTCGACAACTGAGTCTCAAGGGGGCAGTGGCAGTGCCCCCTAAGATCTTGGCGATTTAAAGCTCGGAGTGTCATTGCAACTGCAATGGATAGGCGTGTCGCTTGCACCGGGCTCACGAGTTGTACGTCCCATTACTTGGTATCATAAAAAAATCTCAAAATCATCAAACAATAAAAAATACGTGAAAATAGCTATGAAAATTAAAAAGCAAAACGTTTGTGTTTCACTCGCCTTTGCTTCACCATGCGAACTTTTTGGTTTCACTTTTTGCCTTTTCTGACCTGAAGTAGCGATGTTACGTCTCTCAGTTGTAGGGCTAGCACGATAAGGTGCGACTTGTGCGAGAGTGACATAAAGCGCGATATACTGCTATTCGCCCATAGCAGTATATCGCGCGAGAATAACAATATCCCACGCATTTATGTCGCTCTCGCTCTCGCGCTAGCCCTACTGGACAGAATTAGCTGAACACTAAGGCTCAATTTACATTGCCGCGGAGCGGAATGGAAACGAATTTTTGCAATCAAAATAGGTCACGTGTTCATGAGAATACGCGCGTATTCTCGGGCATTTCCGTATTTAGTGACGGCGGCGTAGCACGAAAGGAGAGCCAGTGCTGAGTGTGATCGATCTTTGTTATTAATATAAAAAAACTAGTGAAGTAATTTGGTAAAGACTGCTGTTATGCGATTTTTAGATCATGGTGCACGTGGGAGCGTTCCAACCGCAAGAACAATAACGTCACCAATCTTCATTGGTGTCTCGCCTCGTACTGTCCGGGGGCTGAGTGTTGGCAGGTACTCCTTCAACTATCTCTGCCAAAAGATATCTGCTAATCGCGCTGCTCGCCGCTAGGTCATTCGGCTGCAGTGGTCCGACTAATCCGGTCTTATAGAGATATAAATCTTTGCAAAATGCTTCATATTGGCCAAAAAGCTTTAGTTAGTTTCTTTCATAAATCATGAACCCTTATAAATAAAAGCAATGGCCAAGTCTACTATACTTATTATGTAAGACATCTAGACTAAACGATTGAACACCTACTACAGACTCAAAGGGCAGTCACGAGAATTCTCGAGCATCGAATTTAACCAGTTACCGTACATCTCTATGCAGTCGACGTCAAAATGGCAGCTGATGATTGACATTTGTATTTTTTTAGAGCTATTGTCAAAAGGTAGAAATGTTTGCTAGATATATGGGAAGTGACGACGTAAATGTACTTAAGTTGTATTCTTTTGGAAAATGTCCATAGTATTTAAGAAATTCTTAACATTTTTCAGCATAAATCAATCAGCAACCTCATTAGGTAGTCTAAATGTTTTATTAGATCATAGATTTATTTTTCGTTTAATTGTCGAAGTCGATGAGGCTTGTATTGGGCTATATTTGACATAGAAAATTAATGAGTACAGTACACTATTTTCTTAATATCTCACGGCATTCTTCGTGTTTCGGCTGTCGTCGGATCTCTATCAGCTGCCCTTTGCACTAAGTGCAGACCGGACGCACTCAATCGACTTGGAAGTGTATAGAGTAGCTACAGTCTGGCACTTTTTTTAAGACGGTGTAAAACAACATTGACAATTCAAATGAAACAAGTTCGTTTATTTATAAGCGTAACCAACATTCAGTTGATTATCGATAGAATATTTAGTAACTACAATCATTAGCTGTTTGTAAGCTGAATGAACTGTCATTTTACTCCATCTTCAAAAGTCTATAATATAAGTCTATATATTTGTTTCGTTTATATTTTTGTTAATTTCCATCGTATATTGTGAAGGAGTAAAGGGTATTATAATTGCATTTTTTTTATTTTAGTTTCATGAAGAACGGTAAAGTTATTTCGTACGTTCATTGTGCGATTTCTCCTAGCTTCACTCGCTGCGTTTCGGAAACTACACTGTGAAATGAAAAAATCAACTTACGTTGCATATGAATATGCTGCTTGGGCATCTTGTAGTCGGGCGGGTAACATCGTTCGTAGAAGTCGAGATCGGAGACCTGGCATACTTCTGGCGTTGGTATTATGAGCCCCGTGCCTGATATTGCTCTCTGGAGGTGATGTTCCTGCGAAAAGAAGGTTTCAATATAATTTGTGCAGAACGAAAGACACAGTACCTTATAAGTATCAAGTTTGAATAAAAAGACTGTTAGGACGTCGTTAGGAACATTTATCAACAACTTTGCCTTTAACGATTTTTGTTTATATTTTTGGTTACGGTCTCAACCCTGGAATTTGTAAAAGACCCGAAATGTTGCTTTGTTTGAAAAAAAAAATACAAATTTTCTAAAAACATAATGACATATCATATGTACCAAATTAATAATTAATCAAGTTATAGTCATTGTAGTGCGTTTACAGGGTTTATGTGCTGGAATATTTTACGTAACATCTTTGTTAATCCACATGAAATAACGAATAAATTGAATTACGAATTATGAACTACGCGAAACCTATAAGAATAGCCACCCACTGGAGCTGTGGATGATATTGAAAGGCCAAATTTAAGTTACTCATTTTGAAATCAATATTAAGAAATAAATGCACAATATTAGAAATATATATTTCCTATCTAGATGTGACTTAATCTTCATTACCTTTCAACTCAAGGTGTAATTTTATCGACTATCGCTTATCACATGACATCACGATCATAAAATGCCTGATTTTTAATAACTTATGTAAATAAGAGGATTTAAGTTAGAGTAACAATGATTACCTACTTTTGTTGAATGAAAACATTTTTACATTGTGCTCGACAATGTCCGGCTACGAACACAGGTTAGGTTTAGATCTTGTCTATCTATCCGTCTTTTAGTACCATGAGTTTTTTGAAAGCATAGACAGGAATAGGAAGATTTAAAGAAAGTGACGCAGAGGAAGACCTACATTGATGATCCAAAAATTTCCCATACACAACAGAACAATTGCTTACTGCATGAAAAATACCGTAAAATACAAAACATTACTTACTGCATACGAGAACAAATACAAAAACAGACAAAAAACAGTGAACAGCCGACCGAACAGCGACACCATTGCTAGATAGCAATCTCTTTTCGACAGCCTTGAAAAATTTTAATACTGCCAAAGTAAATTGGGTTATTTTTTGCACGGGAGTTTAAAAAGTGCGCACGCTGATAACAACTATTCGCTATGGGTCTATATTTCCATTTATTTATTTTATTTTAAAGGGTACAAACAGTCTATTATCATCATCATTAACCCATTTATATGTCCAACTGCTGGGCACGGGTCTCTATTCAGGCGAAGGTTTAGGCCATGGCCTTCCACGCTGGCCGAATGCGGGGACTTCACACGACTTCTGACTTCACTGAAGTTCAGGTTTCATCAAGGATGTTTTCCTTCACCGAAATCCTCAAATTTCAAATTAAATTTCGTTTACAAGTTCCAGGAAACTCAGAGGTGCGATCCCGGAGTCGGAACCACGGCGTCTGCTCGAGTGCCGTTAGGTCAAATAATTAGGCTACCACGGGAAAACAGACTACATAATATACATAACAATGCTAGTTATCCAAGATGATACCGCCTTTGCACCAGAGATGTGCGACGTAGCGAGGCGGTGTGCGAGGAAAAAATCCTCCAATAGGATTACTTCATTTTCCTAGCCTCGCTTAGCGCAGCTCCGGTGGAAAAGGGTTAGCGGAGCTAAGTACGTGTACATACAAAATAGCGAGAAATGTGCGCGAGGGATGCGGGCGAAATGTGTGCAAAACGGTGTAGGAAACTAGAGCTACTGAAAGTATGACACTAACTGACTCTGACACATCGCCACCACACCGTACCCCGCCCGCGCATGGCTGAAACACCCGCACAAACCGCGCTGTTGTACATACTCGCATCGCCTCGCTACCTCGCACATCTCTGGTGGAAAGGCAGCCTTATGGCGGGTGGCCGAGTGTAACTTTAATTATAGCGCTACAATCACGTTTACAGCGACTATTAGCCTTGTATAGTGCTACAATCACGCTAATAGCTGCTATCCGTGCTTTACTAACGCTGTCCGTAAGCTGAACATATTTTTCTACGTAAGCCATATTACAGTCTATTGACGAAAACTAGCGCTTGTAGTAATGATATGCAGTAAGGTTTATATAAGTAACCATGAGACATATAAAGAGCCCTAAACGTTAGATCGTTTGAAAAAACAAATATACATTGTGTAAACCCAAAAACATAGTAACTTTTTTTATGATATCAAGAGACGGGACGAACATTTATTTAGAATTTAGGATTAACATTGCTGTGCCCTTACAGGGTTCATGTTTGATCTGTACTATCTAACTTAACGCCTATGTAACAACATGAATGGAATAAATAATTTGAATCAAAACAAGTCGTGCGCCTGGAGGTAAACTAGTAAGCGACATGCCCATACCCAAGGCGGTTGCAGTGTCACTCAAATCTTTAAATCGCTAAAGCTGTGCAGTTTCAGAGCAGTGCGGATGCATTTGTGGACCGTCCGCGCGAAACACTGGAGCGGAGTAACACGTGTAGCGTTAGAACATCGTTCAACAGTGACGCGGATTGCTCCATACGGAACACCTTTCGCGTGAACTCCGCACAAGCCACCCGTGCGTTTATTGTAGGCGACTATCTTCCGTGAATATCCGCACTAAATCAAATACTCGATTCAGAGCACTACGTATTCTACGCATGCGGATGGCCCGCAGGCGAACAGTACGTACGGACACACAGCTGTGAAAGCAATCTAAGATATTATATCAAGTGGGTCACATTATAACGTGCTGCGTCTGTGACACGGACGAGTGACGCCCGAGCTGCTTCCGAGCTCGTCCGAGCTCCGGCATGTGGCCCGGCCCGCCTCGGATCGTTGTAATGTGAACACTCTCTGACTCTGTCTAATTTAAGATCGTGCGACACGTACGAGTCTCGGATGCCTAGGACACGGCTCGCGCCCGGCACGGTCTAATGTGAATATGAATATGCAGCACGTCAGGGGCTCGGATGACTCGGACATGGCTCGCGCTCGGCACGGTCTAATGTGAATCATCCTTTAACCTCTCATCACTTACGGATACTTAAGAGTCGATACTACCTCATCTCGAATTCAAATTTTTCCCATACTAATACGGCTCATGTTAGGTTCGTGCTTTTTTTTCTATCGTAGAAATCTTTAGAATCGTGTTTTCACACCGTATAATAATCAGTGTATACTTATCCACAATTAATAAAATAACTGCCTCGATGAAAAAAAAAAACTATATACTTTTATAAGTGATTGATTCAACACTTTCTCTGTTATGCGGAAGCAACGAAAGCTACTTGAGGTTGTATAAACTCTTAAGTACGGAACGTGTAACGTCATTTTCGTTCTTATTGCATCTATGTCCATGCAGGTTTTTCTAACCCACTTAAGTCCATTCTACGTTAATAAAGTGGGGGACTCCCTTACGAAGCACGAATAATAGCTTATTAATGCAATCTAATTGTTATACGGATGCACGTGCCCGCCCTGTTATTAAAAGAGGTGACATTATTCCATTTACAATGCAAGAAGTGTCTTCTTCTAAGCGTGTTATTAACGAGCCCCATTCTGACTGCAAAATAGTGATTGTGCAGTTGGAAAGCAGTTTAGACGCAATTCCACCCTTACAGTTCTTCCTGCCGCGGCTTGAAAGTCCGGAAAACTCTACTCTTACGTCATTGATATCCACGGCTCCAACGAATAAATGTGTATTATCAAAACACCAATTTTACAGAAAAAAGAGTAAAAACTATAACTATGCATGTGATGGATTTATTTCGAAAAAATGTATAACGAAAACGATGGAAATAAATTAACCCGTGTTTTCACATCGTACATGTAATATTAAAATGTTTTGAGGTGTATTATTTAATAACAAAAGCAACAACAACGCACACACTCATAGCCCCGCACTAAGGAAATCCTGTATTGCGGGTGCCATGGACACATACATGACATTTGTGTTGTCTCACCCAATCTCACGAGATAAATAAATGTAGGCCCTACAAATATTTCTCCCGGCCCGAATCGAACCTTGGACTGGCGTGGCAGTCCAGCAAGGTAACCGCTCGGCCACGGAGGCAGTTAATATTTATGCTTTAGCTAGGTAATATTACAGATACCTTAAACTTTATTTGGGGTAAAAAAATTTAAGAGGTTTATAATATACAATATGTACTATAGCCTCATAGAAATGTTGTGCTCCATGCTACACACTAACTTAGACTGAATTATCACAATATGCGTTAGAGGCCTTAGGCCGTCTCGCCGCCCTTATCGCACGCTGCGTCACATCTGTAGGGCTTGTACGACCGGGCGCAACTTGCGCGAGAGCGACGCGACATAGAGATCGAGATCTCTATGCGAGAATAGCAGTATCTCGCGCTTTATGTCGCGCCCCGTCGTGCCAGCCCCACAGTGACTTCTACGGAAGAAAATAACAATTGAAGTATCATAAGCCTCGATTACTATCGGAACCGATGTCGCCAAAACGCCCAAAAATAAAATGATGAACACTATGAAATCTTGACAATGATTGGTCATAGTTTCTAATTTAAAAAGATGTAACAAATTCTGGATTGTTAATATAATTTAAACTTTACCCAGTCGCTTTATCGTTGAAAGTTCAATACCTTTATTGCACATTACGACGAACGATTAACATCTGAACGAATAGATAATCAGAAAATTGAAAATTTATTAAAATAAGACTAACAGATGATTGTACATACTACTACGGGTAATATTTTTGGTGCACCTATCATTTTTGCATTCTAAAAACAGCACAATAAGACTTACAAGGCCCCATAAAGCTTTTTCAAGAATTTTAGAGAATTTGCACGAAAGAATGACACAACCATATCATACAAAGCGAAAATGGCGGCCTGAGCTAGGTCTGTCGAGACACATAGTTGGCACGCGTCAGACGCTAACTAATCACTTCTACTGTATTCATTGTTCTGTGGTGGCTTCAGACTCATCAATTTCATTAAACGCTGTGTACGTGCCTTATATGTTCGTTTCAGTCTTCGTTCGGAAATTGTTAATAGTTACTAA